ATATATATATATATGTTACAAAACCGCCAAAGAATTCCGAACATATTTTTAACATATCATTCAGTTAGTGCACATTCTTTGATTATTTATATACAATCTATACGCGTGCATGATTTTTTTTTTAATCTCAAATGGGTTACACGAATTAACTGTTATATTGTAGTTTTCACGATGAATGTATTTTGACTTAAATTTAAATAATTATTCACAATAACTCATAACTGGGTATTGTAAGTTATAATCTAATTCTAATAGCACTAATAGCAGTAATAACTTATTACTGCTATTAGAAACTAATAACTATTTAGTTATAATAATAATGATGTTTTTTCAAACGATTTTCTGCGTATGTAATGTGAACACATCTGCATAAAATTATATAGAAACATGCGAGTAATGTGTATAATAGTTTTAAAATGCTAATATAGTTCTAACCATTTTTTAATTATATATACCCAATACCCATTCATATGAAATTTGTTTAAAATKAGTGAGTTATTATATACAATATAATCATTATACATTTTTCTTCTTCTACATTTCATAACAGCTTCGCCATAATAATATATATTGCCTATACGTTTATACATGATATATATATATTATGAAAACCGTCTTAGAATATGCGATGGATTATTATGTATGTAACATAAGAATACAATTTACAATAAAAGTATACAATATACGGTTATGTAATTTTTGTTTTATATATTTATAGATATTACAATCGCAAGTAAAGCAATAGGTATTAAGTCTCGAATCGACTGCAAACACAATTATTAAGGTTCCAATTGATTGATTGAACAGCGTTTTAAAATATAATAAGTATGTTATTATAAGTTATTAATACTAAAAATCATTTTGATTTAAAAAATGGATTGGAAAAATAATTTGAGTCTATTCACTGCAACTGGCTTACAATGATATTACTCAGCTTTTTACGTTGTAAGTTGATAACATATATTGTATTATCTTTAATTGTGTTCATATAATATAATAATGCATATTATAATTATTTTTATGAACACTTAAGATTATAAACGTGAGTCACTTCTCAGCACAACAGTTTTGTTGTWCAAATTTATAATATTTTTCAGTTTCAACATAATTTATCATAAATCAAAAATAATTGTTGAACACTACACTAAGTAATACTTACGGAGCTGTAATATTATATATTTACATACTGCATGCCAACAATTTAAAAATTATAAAATCAAAAAAAAAATCAAATTACGATGTTGCATAGTCGACATTAGTTTTTTTAGTAGCCTTCATAATATTGTATTATATACGTGACTACCACCGTACAGCCGATAATGATCAAGATCAAAAGCTTCCAGTCAGGATGACTTTGGTGGGGTTTTAATAACCCGTCAACCCGTCACAAGATTATGGTTAAAGATAAACGCATCAAAAATAACGTTAAATTAATGAAGAGAGAAATTGAAGTCATTTGTTATCCTGCCCAACGATTGCGGAGGACCCCACGAAAAGTATAGTTTCTTTATAATAGTTCGTGATGTCTTCAGTCCCATTTAGATAAGTTTTCTGAATACTATAAATGACAAATGATAAATGATAATTTATCCTAATTTTTTTAATAAATTAATTTATAACTAAAATGTTATTATCTACATAATATGTGTACGTGCTGAATTTGTTCACACGCAAATTATTCAAATATTATGCAAAATGTTAAATAAAATATCACGGATAAAAGAATATAACTATAGAGTAAACTGTAAACTGTAAAAACAAGTTTAAGCTTTAACCACATACTCAGTATAATAGTTTTTAACATATTAGAGTACATGTACCAATAAAACTATGGCGTGTTTTATCATATAGTATAACTTCAGCAATTAATATTTCAAGTWAGTTAAAACTCTTATAAGTATATTCGTTGTATAAGTTTATTACTATAATGTATAAGTCATCAATAAATCAATAAATTATAATATAGTTTAATAATAATTGACTATTATGTTGTTCCGAATGGCTTGTATTACTACAAAAACAGATTAGAATAACATGAAAAATAAGTACGAATTTCGAGTTACTTTTGAGCAGATTTCGTTTTCAATTATGTGATAAAAGAAAAACAATTATGTGTATTTTTTAGCAGTGGCATGATTTCAGTAAGTTGATCAGTTCCATTCGAAAGTGCGACCACTTGGATTGAGACCAAAAAGTATCAATAATAATAATAGTAATAAAAAAACCTGTTTATCTCATGTGCATATACGGCCCATAAGAGAGAAGTATAATTTTATCGTATTATATAATATACAACGTGCGAAAAAAYGACGTGATGGAGGGGAGATCTCATTAGGATTCATATGAGGTAGGATATTTATTTTTTTTTCTTATTCAATTTTACGCTTGTTCATAATTTATGAACTCCGGAAATATTGTAATCTCGCGTTGTATACAAATACACACACATATGACTTATATGAATAAATTGAAAACAAATCTTATAGATAATGTACTATTTCGTTTGCAGCCGCCGCCGTCAATGAGACATCCCACCGGACAAACCGGTAATAGCGACGACGTTAAAATAAAATAACTGTATATTATATACGAGATATTATGTTAAGGAAAAAGACGGCGGCGGCGACGATAGAGAGGATAATAATATAATATAGATATTTGTTTTTTAATCACAGTGGCTGTAACTCTCCGTTTTTATACGCGAAGAACTGCTGTAATATTATAAAAGTATATACTTCCGCTGCAATGTCGTAATCGAAAATTCGAGTATAAAACTTCCATCATCATCGTACATGTTTGCGTAACGCGACWCTTAGGTCTGCACATTATACGTCATATGCTTGAATATTATATACATTGATCTATAGGCGTATACACAACCATGATGTTGACTTTATCATACGTATATCGTCACCGCGTTTTCGTCGTCGGACTTCGTGCGCTTCGTTCGGGCGGTCTTCAACGGTCGTCAACAATTTATTACATTATTATTCAATTATCATTACCATTGATACATTCATTGCACTATATTATACGCTCTGCGCATAATACACTCGGCGAACGCGACGTCGTCGTTGATTGATCAAAATCCTCAAAACGCGTTGACCTTTCCGAGACGACGTGTCGTCTAGAACGCTTCGTACGGAGGTTGCTCGCTCACGCACACGCTTGTTTGTGACTATATATATTAATTTAAGCGCATACGAAAGGCGAATTCAGGTCAATGCAGCGTAACAAGAGTTGATTGAAGCCAACAACAAACCGGCCGGTGGTGTCCTCTCTCCTCGTATTTATTCATCTTATTATTATTTTGGAACAAGTCTCTGTGCAGCAGCAACCAAAAACAGTA